GTGTGTGTGTGTGTGTGTGTGTGTGTGTGTGTGTGTGTGTGTGTGTGTGTAAAGCCTGCTTCCTTGCCTGCAGAGTCTGTGGTCTGAAATCTAGCTGGATCTAAGAGCTCACTGTTCTGTTTGTCTGCTGACCTCCACACTAGACTAGATAGTCAGGGGAGGTGGAGGGTGGGCTCACTTGTCCAGGTTCTTCAAGGAGAAGGGCTGTGTGGAGAAGCGGATGTAGCTGTCTCGGTAGAACCACACAGTGAGTGGGTTCCAGTCAGTCACCAGGAACCACTGTCTCAGGTCGAACTTGGTACCGAAGATAAGCAGGGGCCGCTCGATGTACTTCTGCACAATCCACTTGCCGTCCTTCATTAGCATGGGGTTACAGTCCACCAGCTTCAGCATCTCGTCCAGGTGGTCCATGCACGTAATGCCTGAGGGGGAGACCAGGCTGTCAGGGACTGAGAGGTCAGGCTGTGTCAGAACTGCCAGAGGACCATTGCTGTCCCTGAAATAAGCTGTCATTTCATAGAATCCAGCTTAACCTTAAGGCTGCCCCTCCCCAAGTCAGAACCATTCTTCCCTCTAGCAAAGAATGTAAATAATTTTCTAATTAACCGCTGAATAAACTTTGTTTTGCTATCTGTAAGTAAAAATCTAGCTGGAGGTTGGAGAGCATTAAGGGCGCTTGCTGTTCTTGCAGAACCCAGCATTCAGATGGCATAACTCCAGTTCCAGAGGCTCTGGTGGTAAAGGCACTTGTCACCAAGGCTTATCACCTGACTTCAGTTCCTAGAACCTACACAGTGGAAGGAGAGGACAGAGCCCTGTAAGTTGTCCTCTGACGTTCCTGCGCACACACAGTGTAAAAACATTTAGATAGTGATGACCGTGCATACATTACTTTCCTCCAGTAATTAAGAGACCAGGAAACTAGAAGCCACACTGAAACCCTTCCTCTCACTATCTGGGGTGAAGCCAGCTGCTGTGGCAGATTCTCTGGAGCTTTCTGGGTTCCACAGTTATTTGTGCTTTGCTCTCATGGGCTCCTATGGAGCTCTGCCAGGCTGTGGGATGAAGCTCGGCAGTTGTCACCTCACCTGTCACTAGTTGTCTATGCAACCAACTCTGGCTACAGCTTCACACATCCAAGGCCACGTGTGTCTTCTTTCCTTCTTTTCGTTTTTCTCATTTCCCTTCTCCTCTCCATTCCTTCTTGAGACAAGGTCTTACTATGTAGCTCTGGCTATTTTAGAACTCAGTATATACACCAGGCTGACCTCAAACTTACAGAGATGCCTCTGCCTCTCTGCGTCCACCTCTGGGATTAAAGGCTTGTGTGACCATGTCCAGCTTGCTTTCCCACTCTCTTTTCTCCTTTTGTAGCAGGGTCTTATGTAGTTCAGGCTGGCCTCATGCTTACTGTGTAGCCAAGGCTGGCCTTCAATGATGCTTTTGCTTCCTCTTGGGATTATAACCAAGTGCTGGAGCACAGATACACTTCACCTTTTATTTATGTTTTTGTCTTATGTGTGTCCCATATGTCTGTTTCGTGGATCTCGTGGAACTGGAGCTACACTGTGTTCATTTTATGACACTTCACTCACTGTACATTTGCAAGCAGACCTTTTTCAATAAAGAATATCATTTCAAGTTTTCTGTCTATTTCTCGGGAGTCCCTCTGTAGTCTTTAAAGGTGGGGCTGCTGCTGGACTCTCCTGTGCATGCAGTGGATGGATGCCCTGATGTGATTGAATAAAGGTGAGGACCAGAAAACATCTTACTGGAAGTGACAGGCAGAGCAGCCACGTTGGTGCATGTTGGTGGGGTGACCACCTGATCCAGCACCATGCTGAACAGTAGGTATGAGCTGCATTTAGACTTTACCTGACAGGAAGCCCTGGCGCCACCCCCATGTCACAGCTGAGAAAACTGAGATTCAGAGAGGTAAATTGACTTGTTCAAGGTCACACAGCATATTAATAATAGAGCTGAGATTCAAACTGGCAGTGGGGCAGATTAGCCTCCTTGGCTTCTAGTAGTAGATAAAGGTACTAAAACTGGAAGAAGAGGTTGCTTCCCCCACCTCGGCCTCGGGACTTGGCTCCGGGCTTCACGATCCAGATGTTCCGATCCCCCTCCATGTCTATCTGGGGTACCACAGCCCGAAGCTGCTGTAGGACATCTTCACAGCGCTGGACTTGAACCTCCAGGTATCTGAGTTCTGCCCCTTCACTGTATGGAGACAGTGAGACTTGTGGAGGGTGGGGCCTGGGTCCAGATGAGAGGATAGGCTACTAGGATACACAGCCCCACTCACCCCAGCTGTGCTCTAACCTGCTTTGCTTGTGCCTGAGACGCCTAACCTATCCAGACCACACCTGTCCCCAGTTCTATATGGCCCCTTTATTCCTAATGAGGACCAGCAACATTCACAGAGCACCCTGGGGAGGACTTCCTGTTGTTCTGGTTCCTCCTCTCAGTAGCTGTTTAGGGAAGTATTTACTAGCCTTTCTTGAGGGAATGCCAACTGAAGCTGGGGGCCTTAAGGGGCCTTTCCAAGGCTACACACCAGGTAGTGACTGAGCCAGGGTGCAAATGCCTGACTGCTTGAACTCAAAGGTGCTTTCAGAGGCTGACCCTGCTAATCTGGACTTAAGGCTGGCTGACAGTCAGTCCTTTCTTAGCCTAAATCTGCTCAGGCCTCACCAGGATTTTTCTCTCTCTCCCACCACACACGCTCCCACACCACACATCCACTTGTTCAGTTACTGCTTGCACTCTCCTCCTGGCCTTTCTAGTGTGTAGTGCCAGGGCTTGAAACCAAGGCCAGCTAGGCTGAGCATACACTGTCCTCTGGGCTACAAGTTGGGCCTGCAGGGCCAGCTTCTGTGGGGTTTGCTCTCTGCTGCATCTTCCTCTCCCACACAACCCCCACCACTTAGCAGGTGCTCTCCAAGTCCGCTGAATGGTTTGGCTGTATAAGCTGGGAAGAATTTGGCATACAGGGGTTCACAGGAAAGGGGGGACCCTGTTCTCTACAGGATGGAGAGTGTCATCAGCTATAATTCATACACTGTCCCAGATGGCTGCTTCGAGTAAACCACAAAGAAGCAGCCTCCCCTGCCTGGGTGCTAGCCTCATTTTAACACCTTGACCTCCACCATAGGGTTTCTCTGTTTAGTCCTGGCTGTCCTGGGACTCACTTTGTAGACCAGGCTGGCCTCGAACTCAGAAATCCACCTGCCTCTGCCTCCCAGGTGCTGGGATTATAGGCGTGCGCCACCACTGCCTGGCCATAGCACTCTTTCTATGAGAAGCATCAAGAACAAGAGCGTCCAGACAAAGTGGCTCAGAGGGCTCTGGGGGAGCACGTCCTAGCTCCTGATGAGCTTTCCTATAGCAAATCTGCACGGAGGCCCTGGGAAAGTGTCACCTAGGAGTGACAAGGGTACAGGAAATTTGAAAATGTCCATTCAGTATGATTTTATATTTAGTGGGAAAAAAAACATTTTGATGAAAGTTAACCTTCATAAAAGTTAGGTTGGTAAGGAATGGTCTTGTTTTTTATTTTTATCATTTTATTTTGTGTGTGCGTGCATGTGTGTGTGTGTGTGTGTGTGTGTGTGTGTGTGTGTGTGTGCAGGTGCCTGCAGACTCCAGAAGCAGTAGGTCCCTTACAGCTGTAGTTACATGTGATTGTGAGCTACCTGACAAGGGGCTGGGAAACACAAGCACATCTTTAAGAACAATTAGTGCTCTCATACGCTGAGTATTACTCCAGCCCACGTGGGCTTGTATTTTTGATTAGTTTTGGTTTTTCCAGACAGGGTTCCTCTGTGCAGCCCTGGCTGTCCCTAAACTCACTCTGTAGACCAGACTGGCCTCAAATTCAGAGATCTGCCTGCCTCTACCTTCTGAGTGCTGGAATTAAACTGCCTAGCTTCACATGGGCTTGTTTAAAACTGGAAGAGAAAGTCCTAATGTGGCGCTGAATACTACCGTGGGAATTTTCTTTCTCTTTCTTACTTTCTTTCTTTCTTTCTTTCTTTCTTTCTTTTTTTTTTCTTTTTGTTTTTTTTCGAGACAGGGTTTCTCTGTGTAGCCCCGGCTGTCCTGGAACTCACTCTGCAGACCAGGCTAGCCTCAAACTCAGAAATCTGCCTGCCTCTGCCTCCTAAGTGCTGGGATTAAAGGTTTGTGTTACCACCGCCTGGCAGGGTAATTTTCTTTTGAGGGAAGGTTTTCTTTCTTGTGAAGATGAGTGCTTGCTATTAGCCCAGGCTGGCCTTGAACTTGCAGAGAGCTGAATGCCATATGCTTTCTGAGGGTTTTATGTGACTCTGACTTTTGGGGGATTCTCAACAGCCTCTACACTGGAAATAAAAAGGATCTTTGATAATTCTTAGTTTAAGAAAGCTGAGCCCAGCCAGGCAGTGGTGGCACAAGTCTTTAATCCCAGCACTTGGGAGGCAGAGTTCATAGTCAGCATGGTCTACAGAGCAAGTTCTAGGACAGGCAGAGCTACATGGTGAGACCTGTTCTCAAAACACCAAGAAAGACAGAGAGGCAAAGAGATATAGAGAAAGAGGAGAGAGAGAGAAAGAGGAGAGAGAGAGAGAGAGAGAGAGAGAGAGAGAGAGAGAGAGAGAGAGCGCCTGACAACCTGAGTTCACCTGTGTTAACATAGGAGAGAACCAATTTCACAAGGTTGCCCTCTGACCCCTATAGCCCACCTTTGCTCTCATGCACACCAATTTAAAAGAGAAGAAAGCTTACCTTGGGGGTAGGGTGCAGCTCACTTAGTAAAGTTCTTACCTAAACCTGGGTTCCTGAATTCTACCCCACCACTGTGAAATGAAACGTGGCTTTATGCTTCCTGGCACTAAGGGAAAAGTCTAAGGTAACCTTGTCACCTTCTGCTGTTTAAGAAGACCCTACTTGTTTGCAGCAGCCGTGGGTCTCCTGATTCCTGATCCCATCATTTATCCAAAGTCCCTTCCATCTGTCTCTTCCGGTTAACACCGCCCACTTGAGACCCTTAGAGCTGCCTGGCTGGCTGCAGGTCTCCCACCCGAGGGCTGTGCCCCTACCGAGCATTGGCTCTGGAGCCTGGCACACTGACAGGCACATGGGTGGTGCTCACCAAGTGCTTGCTACAATTGCTGACAGCCAGATCCTGCACCCCGCCTCCTGCCTTCTGCTACTCAAGTGCCTTTGCCCAAAGCAAGCTCCAAAACATCGCCCTTGTTCTTCCCAGCATTCTCGTTCACACTAAAAGATTCTCAATTCTGCCTCAAGGAAACCTGTTAGATTCACTATGTCTAACTCAAATGTCTTCCAAATGTGACTGACCTCCCAACCCTTTCTTGTGATGCCTACTTCCTTCCTATGGGAATTAGCATCCTGTGTCAGGCAGTGACAAATGACCTCAGAATCAAATCTAAATGCCCAAGATTCCTATTTTGAGTGGCCAGCACAAGTCTATGCTGACTCCACAAAACACACCAACCCGTTTCATACCAGTCTCCAAGATGGATGCTATTTTAAAATCTATTTTGCATTTAAAGTATGTTTGGAAAGCTCAGTGATGTTCCCAGGGTCGTAGAGCTGGGGTGGGGGGGATGACTATGCTATGCTGAGGTGGGAGAAGTGGACTGGACTCTCTCTTGGAGCCAGTGGGAGCCTCTGAGTAGAACCGTCCAGGACAAAAATAAAAGAAGGGGGCGGGATGGGAGGGCTTGGGCTGCACCAGATCTCCATCTGAGGGTGCGGCTGTAACTCCAGCCCATGTGCAGAGCCCTGCCCTGTATGGAACTTACTGGACTATTTGGTAGTAGCGCTGAAGGAACAGGGACCAACCGTCGGGGTCGAGGTACAGCGGGGCGTTGGGGTCCTTGTCGATGTCTTTGTGGGCTATGCTGCTGAGGTGCTCTTCGCATGCACTCAGAGCCTCATCCACAAAGTCTGACGACACTGTCACTGGTTTCTTTTCCTGTTTCTTGGACTGTGTATCTTCTGTAGGGACAGAAGGACCAGTAAACAACCCATTTCAAAGCAGGTAATGCGACACATGCCATCGCCCTTTGCTGACCTGAAGCCTATCACTTACCTGAGGCCTCGCCCTAAAGGCACCTGAGGCCCAGAGTGAACTCGATCCCCGGCCACCCTGGGACATTCCCCTCAGTCACCTGAACCTGCTCTAAATTTCCCTGCAACCCTGGCATGTCGTCCCTGCCCTCCACTGTGTCTGGACCTCCCACACAGCTGGGCTTCGTTGTAAATCTCAGCAAAGTTTCTAGAGCACACCTACCCTAGCACCTGCCTACAGCTCTGTATCTCTGGACTCTCTGACATATCTTGGCCCTACAATGTGGCTGGAGACCTTGGTGAATCCAGGTACACATGAAGCCAAATCTGACATAGCTTCCTACACCCCACTGGATACTTGGAATCCGTCCCCTCTCTCAGAATCCTAGCAGATATCCACAGCCCATAAGCCCCAAAGTGCTAATGTACATGTGCAAATGAACCACTCAGCTGAAAGTGATGCACCAACCCTAGCTCAGAGGACCTGATGCCAGCTCATGACCTTGGCTCAGCCTTTTGCCTATTTAAAAACTGACATTCGAACAAGCCCTCAACTGTCCACCTACAGCCTGACACACACTTGAGCTCACAGAAATTCAAGTGCAGAGTCTCTGACCACAGAGGGTCTCCTGTGGCCCAGGTTCTGGCACATAACAGTCTTTGGTACCTAATCTTCCTAGGTCAAATGACAGCAATCAAGTGCATGTGGGGGGTTCCTCTGGAAGGGTCAAGGACTTTTTTCCTTCCAGTAAAGCTGCCCATTCCTTCCCAGAGCCCCTTGGCCGTGGAGCCCCATTACTGCAGAAGGGGGGGGGCATGTAGATTGGACCAGCATGCAGAGGATTCCTATGCCCCCTCCCCTCCCAGATGTTCCCTATGTGCAGGCACAGGGTCTCTCGGGAGACATCTGTACATTACTGTATTCCTGTGCATCCTCCCCTGAGATCCTGAAGAGGTTCTCACAGGCAGGGATGAGGTCGTGTGGTGTCAGCCTACCTCTCTAAAGTGCTCAATCAGATCTATTAAAGGACTGAGCAGTAAATGACAGGTGTGGGGTAAGTGCAAGGGTAAATTTCAGGATGACAGGTGGTAGACAGAGGATGGACAAGCAGACAGGAAGATGGACCTGTGTGAGGGCAGGAAGAAGGTGGGAGTGGACAGACGGATGTAACATGGTAGGCGACCGAAGGGATAGGCAGCGGGTAGCCAGGGAGGAGGAGAGCTGAGAGAATGAATTGATGGGGGCTGGGTGAACAGGGGTGAGCGATGTTCACAGATTGGAAGATGGACAGAAGGGCTGGGGGCAAAGGCTACAGTCTGGTCATAAGTCTTACATGCGTAGATGAGGGAGTGAGAGGATTGCTGGGCACATACCTGTAGGAGTGGAGGGAACCACGGCACTCACCTAGGGCCTCTTCCTCTCTTGCCTGGATGGAGATGAGCTGTGACTTCCCTTCCAACTTCACCACCAGCTTGAGAACGTTGCGGGCAGCTGTCAGCCAGAAGTCCTCTGCTCCCAGGCAGGGATACCCTGCTCAGCCCCCAGGCTCCAGGCCTCTCCTGGTTCTGGAACCTCACCATGGCTTGCCCCATTTGGATCCAGAACCTCATTTACCTGTCTCACTCTAGCACCTGGCTCCTATCCTATTAAACATCAGACCCACAATGTGACCAGACTGTCTTCAGCAGTGGCTGGACCAGGTTTCTTTCTTCCTTTCTTTCTCTCTTTTTTTTTCTTTTGACAGGGTCTTGCAGTTTCAAGCTGTCTGGCTTAGAACTCACTATGAAGACAAAGCTGATCTCAAACTTGTGGCCGTCCTGCCTCTGCTTCTCCCCACTGTGGGGATTACAGATGTGACTACCACCCATGGCCCTCTTTGTCCATTTCTGATACTTATTCTAACCTGAGAATCAGACCATGACCTAAATTCTATCTCAGGTTTGGGACATAATTTAAAAGCTGCCATCTGATCTGGATCCAAATTCTGAACTCAGAACCCACATTGAAGCAGGAACTTGCTTTGCCTTAGAGACCCATAGCCTTTTGTGGAACCTGGTCCAGCCAGCAACTTATCTAGACTCCAGATAGAACCAACCCACCAACGTCTAGAACCTGCTGTAGGGTACAAGCCTGGCTCCCTTGGCTTCTCTGGATGCCAGGGTTGGCTCATGAATGGAAGTCCCATTAGTGGGAGGAAAGGGCTTGGTTACAGAGGAAAGTCTATGGAGTAAGTGAGGGCACGAGGGGAGTCTTGCTCTTTTTCCACTGTGGGACAGACAGCATGAGGGAGCCAGGCCTGGGATTCCCCTTACCTATAAAGGCTTTCTGGTCATCCTCTGCCCCCAATCGGTAGCATCGTGGGAAGAAGGAGTCAGCATCAGCCTCATCAAACCATGGCAGATTCCGGAGGTTGAGACAAAGGCCCACCTATGGAGACAGCTGCTGAAGCACCAGGGGGGACCCACAGAGTGTCAAGGGGCTCCCATCCCCACCCCCAAAAGCATATGTCCAGATACTCAGGAAAATGGAAGACCTTGCCTGGAACCTCCAACCCACTTGCTAGGCCTGACTTGATAGCCATCTCCAGGTTTGCCCAGCTGAGATGGCCCCTGGTCCCTCCACCCACCCTTTCCCATCCAGGCTCTGCCCAGGAAGCCTTTCTAGTTCAGTGGTTCTCAACCCTCCTAATGCTTCAACCTTTTATATACAGTTGACATGGTAGCAAACCCCTAACCATAAAATTATTTCCATTGCTACTTCATAACTGTAATTTTGCTACTGTTATGAATCGAAATGCAAAGATCGAATGCACAGGCTGCAACTCCAAGGTTGAGAACCATTGGCACAGGTGCGGATTAAAACTTTCATCCTGGGCACAGCCTTAGACGGCAGGCTGTGCTGGCGCACTCATCTAAAGATGAGGAAGTGGAGGCTTGGAGAGGCGGAGCCACCAGGAAAGAAACCCAGGAAAGACTCAATAAAACCAGGAGACAGACGTGCTCTGTCCAGGAGGCCAGGGCCCCTCTGTTAATAACAGATTCCATGGGAAATGAGCACAGTCAACACGTCAACACATGTCAGAGTTTGAGAACTAGATGTGTGTTCTCTGAAGAATCTTTTCTGACTGACAAGTCCAGCAGGAACCGGGGCTTCCCTTGGACTCCTACCTTTGTAGTGAAGGAGCCTGCACGGGCGTAATGGTTTATCATCTGATCCTTGGAAAGGAAGCGACAATCCAGCACATCACGCCGAGTGGTCCAGATGAGATAGGGGGTCTCATTTCGAACCATGCGGGACTGGAGAAAAGGGGAGGAAATGGAGACAAGGAGGCCAGAGGGGGGAAGCTTCTCCCTGCCCTGTTGCACAAAGGAGAGGAAGTGCCCAAAGTGTTCTCTGGATTCCCTTCATCTCTGAATACGTCATTTGATGTCGTGTGCTCCAGAGCATATGCTGGGTGAGCAGACAGCAGTCCAGCTTCCCAGCCTCCACTTGGCCTCGTGTCCCAAGGCAGTGACTAAGCTGCAAGCCACAATGCCTTGTTCTGTGACCATCAGTGATTTTTCCCAGTGGAAGGACAATGACTCTGGCCAATGAGAACACAGTAAGGACAAAGGTTCTCCATGGACCAAACCTCTCTATTCTTCCTACAACTCTCGGACACAGGATGATTGTTAGCCAGGCTCTATTTGTTTTTAGAGACAGGCTCTTCCTATGTAGTTTACGAAAGCCTCAAACTCACTAGGTAGCCCAGGCTAGCTTCTAACTCATGATCTTCCTGCTTCAGCCTTCCAAGTGCTGGACTACAGTACACCCCACCCTGCCCTGGTTGAAACTATCATCTCTTTGTGTCAGGAAAGGCTGTGTCAGGTAGGGCGTGGTAGCACATACCTATGATCCTGCCACTTGGGAGGCAGAGGGAAGTGTGGATCTGAGTTCCAGGCTGGCCTGGTCTACAGAGGTAGTTCCAGGACAGCCGGGGATACACAGAGAAACCCTGCTTTTAAATAATAAATAAATTGAAAGGGAAAAGGCTGTGTGCTGTGCTGTGTCATGGTGAGCTGAGGTCTGCTGGTGTTTGTGGGGTCTGTCACTCTGGTGTTTCACTACTGCCATCTATGGAATGCATTAACCCCACCTTAGAGGACGAAAGGTTTGGACTCAGAAGACACTTTGAACAAGGTCCAAAATGGGTGAGGTAGTGCTTGCCTGTAACTGTAGCACTCAGGAGGCTTGAGTTCAAGGCCAGCCTGACTCAGCTATATAGTGCTACCCTGCCTTTTTGGTTTTCTTTTACAAAGATCTAAAAAAAAAACAAAACAAATCAGGCTTTCTCCTGTGTACGGAGTCCTAATCATCCTGGAATCACTGTGTAGATCAGGCTTAGTCTCCCAAGTACTGGGATTAAAGGATCCCACTTGCCTTGGACTCTGCTAGGACTGACTGTAACCTGGAACTAGGAGTTACACTTTCTATGCCAAGTTTCTTTTTGTCAGGGTATTTTATTACAGAAACAGAAATGAAACGATTGCAGCCAGCTAGATGGCTCAGCACATACTGGTGTTTGCTGCCAAGACCTAATACCTAAGCTGATCCCGGGAGCCATGATGGAAGGAGAGTCCTCTGACCTCTACATGTGGATGTGCAGGCCATACTCACATATACACATACCACACAGAGAGAAATGGGGCGGGGGCATGGCTAAGAGAAAAGAAAAGGAAAAGAAATGGCGATTTCCTGTAGTTCACCTAGTCTGGGTGGGGTCAAGCTCTGAGCACACGTTCTCTTCACCATCCATTCCCTCCAGCTCACCAGCATCTCTCAAGTTTTTATGTGTATATTTCCATGTATAGGAGTATATGTGTGTGTGTGTGTGTGTGCACATGTGCACGTGGAGGCCAGAATACAATCTTGGAGCCCCCATCTGTCTTGGCATTTTTGTTTTGTTTGGTTTTTAAGAGTGTATTTGTTTTTATTCCATACATGTGTTTTGTCTGCAGGTATGTCTGTGTACCAAATTCATGCAGTACCCAGGGAGGCTAGGAGAGGGTGTCAGATTCTTTGGAACTGGAGTTATAGATGGTTATGAGCCATCATGTGGTTGGTGAGAATCAGCAGCCAGTACTCTTGACCCATCTTGTTTTTTGTTTTTGTTTTTTTTTGTGTGGGGTTGGTTTTGTTTGTTTGTTTGTTTGTTTGTTTTGTTTTTTGAGACATGGTTTCTCTGTGTAGCCCTGGCTGTCCTGGAACTCACTCTATAGACCAGGCTGGCCTTGAACTCAGAAATCGGCCTGTCTCTGCCTCCCAAGTGCTGGGATTAAAGGCATGCACCACCACTGCCTGGCCAACCCATCTTGTTTTTGCAAAGGGTCTCTCACTGGACTGGAGCTTATGCAGGACATTATACGGGCTGGCCAGCAAGCCCTCGGGGTCCACCAGGGTCTGTCTCCCCGGCACTGAAATCACAAGCTTTTCCCCACACCTGGCATTTTACATGGGCTCTGGAACTTGAACTCAGGCCTTCCCTTTATTGATGGGTGTATATCATCTGTGCTTGTCTTGTGGCTTTTAAAGCCATTTCTTACAGCCTTCATTTGCCAAGGGCAAAGGATAGAGATAAGCAAAGTAGTCTGTATTTGGCGGGACACCATCAGTGCCACCTTGAAGATGTGTTCATCCTATTTGCGCCCCACCGAGTACCTCACCACTGTGTGCAGACCTAGCCAACCATTGGAGAAGCAATCTGTTTTCTCAGACTGGAAGCTGGGGTCCAGAGAAGGAAGGACACCCAATGAGATGTTCTTTCCCTGAATAGAAGTTTCCAGCCAGCCCCCTGTCTTGTACTGACCCCCAGAGTCCTCACCATCAAAGCATGTACCCCATCTAGGTCATCAAGTTCCAGGAAACCATCCAAGTCCAACAGCTGCGCCTCTCGAAACATCTCATTCTCTTCTTCATCCTCTGTGGATATGAAGGATGACACATGGAACTGTGTCTGTGCCCCACAGCCCTTTAAAGTCTCAACCCTGGTCCAGTGGGAAGCAAAGGAAACGGTCTAAGAAAGGACAGCTTATGGACGAGGAGGGACCTACTCACCATCCTCCGTAGCATCGCTGTCACCCAGCATGGAGCTATCTGGATCCTTCTGGGGAGGTGGCAGGATTGTGCCTGGGGGATGCACCATCTTCTTCTCTACCCAGCCCCTCTGGCGCAAGAGACACCGGATCACTGGGTATCGGCCATGAATCATAAAGATCTTCTTCTGCTGTAAGGTGAGAGGCAGTAACTTGCTTCAGCATCAGACATGTTAGGAGGCAATGGTGAACCAGACAGGATGTCTGCCTTCAGGGAATTTTGATACCCCAGGAGGAGGCAGCTTATAAACAAAAAGAAAAATAAACATGTACAGCTTATAGTTACTGAGTACCTGTTATGCGGTAAGCAGTAACATGTACCAATTAGGAACAATCTGCATTTTAATTTAATTACATATTGGAGGCACACAGTAGTCAAGTGACAGAGCAGAGATTTCTTCCTTTCTGTTTGGTGCTGGGGACTGAGACCAGGACCTTGTACATGCTAAGCATACATCCTAACACTGGTATTCCCAGCCTCCAGAGTAATACATAGTCAAGGCAAACCAAGAGCGAACCATGAACGCAGAGCTGAGCCAGTGGCAGTTCAGGCAATGTGAGGTAGCATGTGCAAAGGTCCAGAGGCTAGCTAGAAGTCAGAAGGAACAGAAAGTCTAAGGAAAGTGACGTCTGGAAAATGAGAGCTCCCAAGATTACAGGGAGTATGACTGTACTGTGGAGAGCCCCACAGACCTTAAAATGTGGCCTTGCATCTTGTATAAGAGGAAAGACCATAGGATAAGGGAGGAAGTAAATAGAGGCTTTGTAAGCTTGCATGCAACTGCATGGAGAATCCATGCAGGAGGGGGCAGGCACAGAGGCTGCCATGCATGGTCTGAGGGACTGCAATAGTCAGAATGAAGGGGGTACCATGAACACTGTGGAGGAGGTATTAGTCCTGAGACTAATTTTGGAGGCATGGACGTTGGATGGGTTTGCTGATGAATGGAAGAAACTGGAAGAATGGATTTCTGGTTTCTGAAACAGAAATGGGGAAAACTGGACAGAAGGAGGATGTTTGGGATGCAAGTGTGAGAGGCTGGCAAGCTCTCTGGGTGGAGCCATCCAACAGATGGCTGGATCTCCAGGGTTGGAGAATGCGGGGGGGGGGGGAGGGGGGGTTAGAGGCAAGAAAAGGGTGGTACAGAGGATGGTGTGACCTTGGATTCTCAAGCTCAAGGAGAGAGGCCTGTGGAGAGGGACCCAGGGAATCATTAACATCTGGGAAATCTTCAGAGGCAGAGACCAAGGAGCAAGCAAAGGAAACCAGTGTGGATCCAGCCATTCAGCCATTCAGCCAGAGGTGAGGTGTGGGGCCCATTTGTGGCATACAGTGCTCCAGCTGGAGAAAGCAGTTTAAGGCTTTCAGGACTTGGCTGGGCACCAGTGTTGAAGATGAGAGTAATTTCCAGTAGGAATGAGATAGAAGACAGGGAACAGGGCTGAGGGGGCTAGGGAGTACACCCCCGGGTAGTGACGATTCAGCCAAGACTATGGGCCTGAAGAGAGACTGAGGATGGAGGTGGGGGACACTTACAGAAGCATCCAGATGTGTGTGTGTGTGTGTGTGTGTGTGTGTGTGTGCGCGCGCGCGCGCGTGTGTGTTTGCCTTTTATAGATTTATTTTTTAAGGATATGACAAACTAGTAAGTGAAGCCACCACCACCACTCCACCCCCTCCAACCTTGACGGCTCTCTCTACGTGGATTTTGGCGTTTCTGAGTCGGCCCATGTGGTGAGGTCCCTTGTTGAGTCCTCGCCAGAGGAGTACGGAATCTGCAGAGAGATGCAGAGCAGGAACACAGAATGCTAGAGGCTTGGCACAGGGACTTCTCTGACCTCAGGTGCCCGGCCTCCCTTGCCCCCACCCTATATCTGGAAGCCCAACCTCCAGTGCATTCCAGATTCCCCATCCCTTCCACCTTCGCGGCCTCTTCCTGCAGCTGATAGGGTGTCAGGGATGGTGGGCTGCTTTGTGCCTCACCATCAGGCGGCGGCAGGGCATCAGGAAGGGGCTCATCCGGGGTCGGGGGGACCAGGGAGCAGACGGTTTCGGGGTTCACAGTGCCCAGAGCACCGGGCACGGACGACTCGCGAGCGCTGCTTAGGTGGCGCGCAGGCAACGGGCTGTAATCCCCTTGGCCTTCGCCACAGCGCGCCACCTCGGGCCTGGCGGAGGCGGGACCAGGCCATTGCTGCCTCTCAGACTGCCGGAACTCGGAGTTGCGTGCCCAGGGCCAGCGGGACGAGAAATTGGTGCGGAGCTCGGGTGGCTGCTGCCTCCGGAGCCAGCTGCACTCCGAGCTGCCCTCCTGGCGGTACCAGGCGGCCCCGGGCCCCAGCTGCCCCGCGCTCAGGATAAGCGCCGCGCTGAGGCCCTGCATGCGCCTCTAGCCAGGTTCGCTCCCAGCGCCCCACAGCGCCTCCTCAGCCCTTGCGCCCTCTTGGGCCCCGCCCTCTGTTTCCCATCTCCTAGGAGACGGTTGCCAAGGCACAATCAGACTCAGGTGGAGGGCTGGATAGCTACTCTGTGGCTTTAGGGAAGTCGAATACGGATTTTTCTTAGTAATCTTGGCTCTGGACCTTACTTGCCTCATATTCTTGGTGTGCCAAGCACCGAGGATGGAAGAACTGAGCACTGGGGCTCCCGAGTTCCTTATCTGTGCCTTGGCCCTCATACTAAGTCTCTGGGGTAAGGGCTGTCAAGTGGACCCTGATCTCACAGAGCTTAGAGTGTGGAGAAAGCTAGCAAAAGAAATAAAAAGGTGCTGGTTTAAGCGCAGGGGAAAAGCAGCGAGCTGAAACTGGGAAAGGTCTTCCTGAAGGTAAGGTAGTCAGGGATGTCCTCTCCGGTTTACCAGTTAAGCAAAGGAAATGCAAAGGCGATAGGAACCACCAAGGGAAGAGATGGGATCACACTCTAACCGTGAATGTCTAGAAGTCTCGACAACTGCCCGGGAGAGCTAGGGACCTTTCTTTTTAGTTGTTTTTTCGAAACAAGAGCTCTCTGTAGTCTTTGTTTGTCCAGGAACTGGTCTGTAGACCAGGCTGTCCTCAAACTCAGAGATCTGCCTGCCTCTACTGGGATTAAAGGCAGAGGCTAGGAACTTTTCCTGGAGAAAGTAAAGGCAGCTGGTGAGGCTTGAACCTGGCAGGGCATGGCTGGAGATGGCAGTAAGGTCTTTGGGGATAAATAAGAAAGTCAAGGCTGTGTGTAGGATGGTAAGGTCAGAGCATAGTTGGCCTCTTCCACTAACTTGCAAAAGTAAAAATAAATCATTTTTATCAACTGAAGAAATGGAAAGATTTAGGTATGTAAGTGACCAAGGCACTATCTTCAGAACTCACCAAAAAAATAAATTTCAAGATTCCAAGTCAGTACAAAACCTGTCTCAAAAATCACACAACATAGCCAATCCCAGTACAGAGTTCTGATTCCAACACTTTTGAGACAGGGTCTCATTTACCCCAGGCAGACTTTCAACAACTAGACTGTCACCATGCCTGTGCTGGGACAGAATTCATGCTTTGTGCATGCTAGACAAAGCAGTCTAGGAACTAAGCTACATGTCCAGCCACTTGGGCTTGCTGTTTGTGTGTGTTGAGGGGTGTGGGAGTGGGGCTCAGAAGCATCAAATGGAGTTTTAGAAGCCAACTCTACCAGTGTCTATTCAAGCAGTCCAAGAAACCAGCTGTCAGTAAATGTGCCTTTGGAGTGAAGGTAGTCCCCCCACCCCCCGGCCCCACCTGTCCAGCCAAACCTAACCACAGATCCCCATATATTGGCTAATGGAATTTCCCAGAAGAGAGAACTGGCTGGTTGGTAGCAATCTGGTCTGTTCTCAGTGTGTAAATCTGGTTTTAGGGACTTTGGACCTTGGGAGATAATCCATGACAAAGCAGGGTTTTGACTGGCTCACCGGGATAAGGATGTCTTTTGAGGGTTGAGTGACCAGCTGCCATTTCCTCCGATCTCCCACTTTCACCAGGAGTACCTCTAACAGTTACTACAAAACTAGAATAAAGAAAGCCATGTACCACAAAGGACCTAACTAATTCAATACGGCAGGTCACAGAGGTAGTGTCATAAAGGCATGGTAACTGGTCAAGCTGTCCCCACCCCTCCTTTCTTTAACACTTGTTCTTTTCAAAAGACCCTTCTGGGGGCTGCTGATATAGCCTAGTGGGAGGTTTGTACAGTATGCTCAAGACCCTGGGTTCAATCCCAACACTGGAAAATCTCCCCAAACCCCAGCAAATATTCTGTTGCCCATTCAAAAAGCTCAGCACTCTCTCACACACACACCCTTTTTATTTTATTTGAAACAGTGTACTTCCAGCCTGGCCTAGAATTCACAAAGTCCTCCTGTCTCCAATTTCCAAGTGCTAGAATTACAAGAGTGAGCCACCACACCTGGCTCAAGGACTAGTATTTTTTAAGCTTTCCCTGTTACTCTCTCCTGTAAGCATACTTACCGCCCCATCCCCTCTCTTCCAACCAGGAACACCACTCTCACATGCCTGTCTGCAGACAGACCTCATTTTTCCTGGAACTGAGTTTTGTCACAGTAGGACTGGATGTCAACCCTGATGGCCAGCACACACAAGTTACACAGCAGGCAGGGAGCTAGCTACTTCACCTAGCGTCAGTGTGACGGGGATAACGCTACATAGTTCACACATCTCTATGTACCAGCAAACAGCGAGAGAAAGGACTGCGCACTTCAGGAGTGAGCACTGTCTGATGGAACTCCCTGAGCATGTTCAATACTGTCACCATCCAACACCTGCTGGGTTACTGATCAGACCAAGACTTGTAGGTAGTGTGGGAATGCCCACTGTTCCAGCACAGGCAGAAGTCTTCCTCCTCCTGCTTACAGAATGGGAAATGTGGAGCAAGCTATCTGGGGCTGTGGAACCTGTCTTCTTACCCACAAAGTGGGATCATGGTTTCTCGGGTTCCCTGTAAGCCAGAATGGAAGCAGGATGTGGAAGCACCGCATCTCTGTCCAGGCAGAACCCACCTTCAGAAGGCTGGGGCCTGGCTGCAGGGAAGGGCTGTGCTCCAGACCCAAATGCCAGCCACAAGGCTCCAGGAAAAAAAACAAACCAGGCATCCTTTCGCACAAGCACACAGAGCACAGAGCTCATGCAGCCCCGAAGGGGCAGAAAGAGAGTTTAATTAGGGGAAGGGGGAATTCATCAGAATCAGAGTCAGCGAGCACGGGAGCAGAGGAGCCTGAGCAGGCAGGACTCACCTCTGCACCTCCAGCACAGGCACTGTACCCAGATGGAAAAATCTTGGGGCCTCTCAGCTGGAAGGGTGTTGGATGGACACCAGGTGGCCCCTATGGCCAGAAGTTGGCCTGGCTTCTGGGCCCCAGCTCCTAGGCCTGCCCGGCAATCATAGATTCAGCCCTTGTTCCCAACCAATGCAGTGGGCATCTTCAGGCAGAATGCCAGAGGCTAGTAGAGGGGCCATACCACCTCTACTAGGCCCAAGGAGGCTTGTAAGACAGCAAGAAAAAAAAAAAAAACTGTAGTCTGAAACTTCCCTCTCTCCCCACCTGGGGTGGCTCAGGGGGAAAAATAGTCGCCTTCTGGCTCCAGGCCCGCCCAGACCACAGCGACCAATAAGACACAATCACTGGGGCCAGTCACAGCCACTGGAGGTGGAGGTTGGTTTTGGTTTGTTTTGTTTTGTTTTTTAAAAAAAAGAGAGAGCGAGAGAGAGAGACAAAAAGGTTACAGTCTTCTACAAGCACAGAGTTTAGGTTTCAAGACGTTTAAAAAAAAGTTTGTCCCGGCCCAGGGGACTGAGCATCAGAAGCTAGCCAGGCCAGACACATGAGGCCATAGGGCAGGTCCACTGCTGCCTTTCTGCACAGCTAGCAAGCACACCACACCCACCTCCCGAATCCAATGCCCACCCGACCCAGCTTCCTGCTGCTGCTGCTGCTGCTGCACCGCTGCTCCAGGGAGTGACTCCAGGACACCTTTGCAGACGCAGAGACACAGGGGAGGCCAAGGGGAAGGCTGCGAGATCCAGCTAGACGGTTTAAAACTGTCCAAGAGAATGACAGGCAATGAGTTACTATATCTTGGTAAGCTGCTGCTGTTCAAGTCTCTGAGAGCCAGATCAGCCTCTGGCACTTCATGAACACACTCTTTCTTTGTGAACCAAACCCAGGTCTCCCAAAAGAGCAAAAAGTGCTCTTAACCACCAAATCATCTCTACAGCCCCATGAGCATGCTCTTAATCTGGCCAGACTTTAGCAGTGATCTGAAGATACTGGCCTGAAACACAAAATTAGGCAAAGCTGAAGAAATTAAGTGCTGAGGGCTTCCCCGTAGCTTGCTTAGCAACTGAAACTGTTTCAGATATAGGCCCATACGTGAGGGGCTGCAGGGCTCAGGGAGCCAAGGAGAGAGGGACAAGGTTTTATTTTAACTTTATGTTCAACTTTGGGTGATTGTCACACCGGAATAGGCCTTAGAAGAGCTTTCTGATCCCGGTGGCAGTACACACAAATCTTAGCACTCAGGAAAGTGGAGGCACACATTTCAGGAGTTCAAGACTATCCTCAGGCAAAGTAAATTTAGGGGCAGCCTAGGTTACCTGTTTTCCCTGCCTCCTCTCAGGAAGATCAAAAGAGAGGAAGAGACAGGGAAGGAAAGAGACAGGAAGAAAATGCTTCTTGCCTTCAGGTAGCCCCATGGTGCCAAGAACAATCCTGGACACTATAAACTAGAGACTGCTCAATGACTGAGCATAGCCCAAGACTGGGCCACATAATGTTCAAAGCTATGGATTAGTTGTTAACTTTGAAGACAACAGACACCACTACCAAACCCAAATTTGGGGGTTCATGTGAACAATTTGTTCTGGCCTGGCTATACAAGCCTGCAATCCCAGCTACTTCAGAGATTGAGGCGGGATGACTGAAAATTCAAGGACTCCTGGGACTACACAGTGAGATTTGAACTCAAAATAAAAATTAAAAGCAAGCTGGAGACAAAGACCAGCTTGGGCAGAACATGCAAAGCCCTGAGTTCAGTTCAACTCCAAGCTCCAGAAGAAAAAGCAGGACAACGATGCAGTAACAGGCTGTAGCTGCCTGGTGGCAATCCTTTTTAGAGGCGAGTGCTACCATGTTCCACAAAACCACCTGGGCCACATGCACTACCTGCCTGAGAGACTGAAGTATCACCAGATGCTATGGCCCTATTGTAGATGCTTAAACCAGAAATCCTGCTTTGTATTCCCTTTCTTCCAGTTATTAGTTGGATACTGGCTAGGCAACTTCACTTCCAGAGCCTAAGACAATAAATATTAAGTCCTAGGGGCTGGAGAGATGGTTTTAGTGAATACTACTCCCTCTGGAGGACCTGACGTCAGTTCCCAGCATAGACATCAGTTAGCTCCTATAGCTCTACCTTCAGGGGATTCGATATCCTGTTCTGGAATCTGTGCCCCCCCCCCTCTTTCCTTCTCTCTCCCTACACACATAAATTATAAGTGATTGAGTAATTTAAGCCAAATACTAAATTGTGACAAGCACTAGTTCCCCTTGGTCAAATGAATCTAGTGTCCTTTATGATCACTCCTGAAACTGTGACATTTCCATACTTGGAAATTTCCGTAGTAAGCACTCTGTGATCTTAATGCTTAACACCCTGAAAGGTACATACATATTTACAGCACTCTCAGGTCACAGCTGAGGAAACCAGGCTTAGTTGAGCAGTTCAGCGACATGCCTTCAGAAGGCCACCCACAGGATAATTAAACCCCAGGGGAAGTGAGTTCATTTCCACTTTTAGGCTTCTGAGCTCCCCTGGGCTGGGTTTGTATGCACTAGTAGGAATAAACACTAGCTCTACCATGGAGGGATTGGACAGCCCTGAGTGGAATGTATCAACAAACCAGAGATTGTTAGGAAGGCAGGAACATGTCCTGAATCTCTAGACAAAACGATGCTACCAGCTCCATAGTGTAAACAATCCACCCTCTCTGAGCACTGCAGGCCTTTCAGTTAGATGGAAGTAATGGGAATTACCAAGCCATGAGTAATGGGAACATGTTGAAGAAACCACAGCAGTGAGAACAGACAGTGAAGAAAAATATTTAAGTCTGTTCGAGAAATGGGCTGTCCTTTGGTCTCAGAAGATTCACAAGGCACTTTCTCTTCCTCACTTGGGGGTTTGAACTAGGACAGATAAAAGACCATGTAGAACTGGAATTTCCACAGTGATTTGCCTCCCAGTCTTAGAGAAATAGAAATGCCTTCTAGCTCTCAAGGGTGAAATCTTTGGCCTTGTGCTTCAAAGTACCTGGCTATGCTCCAGGTCTGAGGAGACTCAGGACTATCTTGTCAGTGTCACCATATTCCAGAACCCATAGCTTCTTCCACCCTGGCATCAAGAGGGGAGAGAGGCCCTACTCACGTTCTTGAGAAACTCCTCGGCCACGATCCGAGCCCGAGCATTAACGGACAGCTTCATCTCACTGATCTCCTTGTCGATCTCCTCCATGAAGTGGATGACAAAGTCCACCAGTTTGTGTTTGTACATCTGCTCCGTGTGGAAGTTGGTGATGAGAAAGCTGATGTCATACCCCTAGAGAGGGAAGCCATCAGGGAAGGAAGACACAAGACAAAATTAGCCCCCCAGGGACACCTGGTTGTCACATCTTTTCCCTACTCACAGACTTCCAACTGGCTACCATTTTCTCTTGAGCTATATATTAACCCTCACTCAGCAATCCAACTTGCTTGGGTAGGTGGAGGTGGTACTGGGAGTGGGGGTAGGGTATGGATGAGTGTACATTTGTGTGTCTGCTGGACCCAAACAACTGAACCCAGTTCAAAATCGTGTACCAGGTCAGATGTCCCCATGGCACAAATAGCCTGTATTTGGAATGGACCAAGGAAATAAAAGGATCATAAATCTTATTTTAAAGACTCCAATAGTAAAAAACACAGGAAAACTGACATGGAAAAGGATGGGACCAGAGCTGTTTGCTTCAAGAGGATGTGTGAGAAAGAGTGAGCCCCGAGGTTAGAGTGAGGACAGGGAGCAAGGTGAAGAACACCAGAGGCTAACACACTCAGGATGTTCGGTGATGGTCACCACTGCTCTAACATAGTGGCTGCCAGGTCACCAGGGAGACTTGGCAGGGAGCTTATGTACCTTTACATACAAAGGCAGACAACAAGCAATTCACTGTTTACTGTGGCATTGAAAGGCTGGACTTCAGTTGGTAGGAAAGTTTTTGTTTTGCTTTTTTTGCTGTTCCCCCCCCAACATTCCTGACATGGGTGTGGTGGGCATGCTTGTACTCCCAGTGTGGAGGAAGCTAAGGCAGAAGAATCGTGAGCTAGAGCACACTGAAATCACTGTTTTGTCTGTGACTAGACCCAAGGTTCTGAGGAGGAGGGCACTGTACACCGACCTTCTCCGGGGCTTTTGTCTCCCTGCTACCCGGTACAGGCTGACTCCGCCCAGGCAGTGACACCCTAAGCTAGAGAAGCAGCCTCAGCCTGCAATCCATCCTACAGACCCAGGCTGTAGCACAGCAACCTGCCCAGCAGTGCAAGGCCTTGGGTTCCACCCCCAGTAGTACAAAAATCAAACAATCCGGGTCTGCCCCCAGACAGCATCCTGGGAATGACAAATAACGAGAAGCACGGGTCTCACCTCCACAGGCTTCCTTCGGAGGATAAAGAAGTTCTCTGCTCTCATCATCATGAAGCGCATGAACTTATGGCATAAGATCTTCTCAATCTCATCTGCCTGGCGACAGCAAACAGAGAAAGAGAGAGTTCTTAAAGTCAGCATGAACATCCAAACCACACTGAGCCTGGTTTTCCGGCCCCACTGACTCCCCAAGTTAGCAGAGGAGGCTGAGAGGTTTGGTAGGAACAAAGGCTACTGATGTTTGAATTACAGCATCTGCTGCTGACGAAAGGAAGCCCTCCCCAGGGCCAGTCTGCCTTAACCTGTAGTACTGAGAGTGCATCTCACACCAGTCTT